AGGGAAAGAATCTTATTTTTTTCTATTTACTAATATTGTTTATTAATATGTAGTAATTGTACTTCGTTGTGGGGTATAATGTGATTTTTCAGCATGAGAATACTATCTGTAATGACTCATTTAAGATCATTGGTGTGCCCATAATCTCAACCACTTGACATTCCTTGTGTAAGGAGTATTCAAAATCCCTTTTAGTTACTTTGAGATAATTTCAACTTGTTGCCATGTATAGTCTCCTCACTTTTTATCTTTAGAACTTGTTCCTCCTGTAGGTCTGCAGTTTTATTTCTGTTACTCAACATCCCCTGATGTCCCTGCCCCATTATTCCTGGTCTCTAGCAGGTATTCTTCAGTCTATCTCTATGAGGCTAGTTTTTCGATTTCCCATGTGAGAGAGAATATGTCATTTTGCCTTTTGTGCCTAGCTTATTCCACCTAATATAACATCCTTCGTGTTTGTCCACTTAACATCAGTGACAGGATTTTGTCTCTCATCCCAGTTAGAATGACTATTATTAAAAAGGAAAAAAATGACAAATGCTGGCAAGAATGTGGAGGAAGGAGCAGTCTCTCACACTGTTGGTGGGAATGTAATTAACACGGTTGTTATGGAAAACATTATGGAGTTTTCTTAAACTAAAAATAGAATTGCCTTGGGACCAGCAGTTAGTGTAATGGCTATGTCGCTGGACTCCCACGTCGTCGACCGCGGTTCGCGTCCCAGACCCAGTGGCTTAAAACTCACACTGGGCACGTGTGTGTGCGTGCCCAAGATCCCGAGAGGAGAATGGAGGAGAAGGGATTGCGGCGTGACCATCCCCCCTGGGGGGTTATTTCTCACTTTCTGTCTCTCTGTCTCTGTCTGTCTGGCGAGCGCACGCACCCTACAGCAAAAACCTCTCCCCCAAAAAATAAATAAATAAAATTGCCTTATGATCCAGCAATCCCACTAGCTACATAAGTATCCAAAGGAGAGTAAATCAGCGTACCTCAAAGATGCCTGCACCCCAGTGTTGACTGCCACTATTCATAATAGCCAAAGTATGGAAGCATCCTGTGTCCATCCACAGACAAATGGATAAAGAAAATGTGGTATGTATACACAAAGGAATAGTATTCAATCATAAAAACCTTGTTTTATGGAAAATGAAGTCAGTTTCTTTGGGCCTTGGCTAAAGCCACTGAAGATGGGAGAATGGGGTGCTCAGCTGGCTCTCCACAAAGTCTTTTCCTCTGCCTTCTTTCCTGGGCCTCTTTCCACCCTGCCATATCCACCTCTTCCTCAGAAGAGATTATTCCAAAAGAGGATATGGTATAATACTGAGAGTAAGATATGGAAAGGTGAGAAAGAAGTGATTGTGGACCTCCCTAACTGCCTTAAAAAACCCTAATATTTTGTGGGATAATTAAGAATACCTGTCAAAAGACCTAGCAAAGCTGATAATGCCTTATGTCAAGTGTTCGGTACCAAGCTTACACTTAATCAATCAAACTTGCATTTTAGTGATTTTATTCCTAGAAACAGACAACAGATTTGGAAAGAGCCTTAATCAGAGTAGACAGAATGTGATTTTTAATTTTCATGCAGAACTGTTCTCTGCTTCTCATTAACTGATCACTTTGGAAAGTTCTCAGTACTATAGCTCTGGAGGAAATGGCCACCTTACACTGTGTGCTCATGTTCCCACCTAGTGACACAAATATAACATTTGTATTATAAAGAAACTTACCATGAAATCCATTCAGAGACCGGATGAGAATGAAGAAAAAAGACAGCTCTACCTGTGCCTTCATGTCTCGTGGCGATCATATTACTGAAGCTATCAAAGAGAAGCAAAGTACACCTTATGGATTTAAAATGCAAAAAGGGGGACCAGCAGATGGCGTAATGGCTACATTGCTGGACTCCCATGTAGTCAACCATGGTTCGAGTCCTTGACCTAGTGGCTTAAACTCACACAGGGCGCATGTGCATGCGTGCCCAAAATCCTGAGAGGAGAATGGAGGAGAAGGGATTGCAGTGTGACCATAACCCCTGGGGGGTGATTTCTTGCTTTCTGTCTGTCTCTCTCTGTGTTTCTGGTGAGTGCACATGCCCAATAGTAAAAACCTCTCCAAAATTTTTTTTAGAAAAGATAAAATGCAAAAAGGAATGGGAAAAGAGTTATAAGATTGACTCTAAAAGATTAAACTATGAGGGACCAGCAGTTAGCGTAATTGCTATGTCACGGTACTCCCATGTGGTCGAACGCGGTTCAAGTCCCAGATCTGGTGGCTTAAACTCACGCCAGGCGCGTGCGCGTGCATGCCCAGGATCCCAAGAGGGGAATGAAGGAGAAGGGATTGCGGCATGGCCATCCCCCCTGGGGGGTGATTTCTTGCTTTCTGTCTGTCTGTTTCTCTCTGTCTTTCTAGTGGGCGCATGAGCCCTATAGCAAAAAATTCTCCAAAAAAAAAAAAAAAGATTAAACTATAATAAATTCTTACAAATGATTCTTTGTAGTCATGAAACATAGTATAAAAATATGGTTCAACGGCATGCAAGGAAGTTTTTAATGTTACATGAGAAAAATTAAATTACGATACTACTCTTAAATAACATGGCACGTTTATACAAGCACACACATAGGAAACCAACAGACACGTAACTTCATAGACACGAGGATGTTAACTCGGGAGAACACATTTCACAGACCAAGTCATTACCTACCTCATAATAGCGGCGGAAACATTGATGTTTTATGTATGTTAAATGGAGAAAGAGTCTATTTACATTCACCAGTAGTTCTCTGGATAATAGTTTTTGACTATTAATTTTAAAACTTTCTGCAATGGACATGTATGGCCTTTTCAGTAAAAACAAAAATAAAAACAAAACCAAAAAATTTCCCGAAACTAAAAGAATATTTAGTTCAATCTTGAGTGCAATGTTGGTAACTATGGTGTTATTTATAACCAAAAATTTTAAAAAAAGGAAAACATCCTTCTTAAAAGTCCAATAGTGCAAATCATAAGGCAGTCATTAAAATGATAATAATGAGTGTTTCAAAAACCCAAAAGTTAGAGAAACTGTGACTCTCTATCTATCTACACACACACACACACACACACACACACACCCCACAGTTTTAACTAAGTGAAATATGACTAGTTTTCTCCGGTGATGGGATTACAGATAATTTTTACTCTACAATATAGCTTGTTTAATGAATAGCATATACTTAGGTATTTTTTCTTTAAAATCTCAAAAAGTTTAAAAGAAATTATTTGTGGAGGCCAGCAGGTGGTGTGATGGTTAAGGCACTGGACTCTCACATGGCCAATTGTGAGTCCTAGACCCAGTTGCTTGAAAATCATGCTAGGTGCATGCATGTGTGTGCCCAAAATCCCTAGAGGAGAGTGAAGGAGAAGGGATTGTGGCATGGCTTAGGGGGTGATTTTTTACTTTCTCTCTCACTGTCTCTCTGGTGAACCCACTTACCCTATAGAAGACAAGGAAACAAACAAATAAAAAAAAAAAAGAAAAAGAAAAATATCATTTGGGAACTTCATTATTACATAAAAGTATTCTAAATTTGTTGTGAGATATAAGGTTTTAAGCATGATTTAAACTACCCTAAACAGTAAAATTAGATTCTTTCATTAGATCTTACTGAAAGAAATCCAGATAGACTAATACATTATTTTTAAAATTTTTAAAGTTTGTTATAGGGTGTGTTCACTCACTGGAGAAAGAGAAACAGAGGCAGAGAGGAAGAGAGAGAAGGAAAGTGAGAAAACACCTCCCTGGGGGTGGCCACACAGCAACCCTTTCCCCTATATTCTCCTCTCAGGATTTTGGGAATGCTTGCACACACACCTGCTGTTTTCGACTTACTGAATCTGGGACTTGAACTGCTCCTTGGTCATGTGCAATCCAGTTGGCCATGTGGGATCCAGTTGCCCTAACCTGCATGCCACCTAGTGGCTCTACATTTTAATTTTTACATTTTAAATCATAGAAGAAAATAATTGAATATACAGTCATGTAAGTCTTTTAAACATGACTACATATTTTTCTATTTTTTCTACTATAGATAGAAATTACAAAATTGGGAAGGCAATAAAAATACTATAGTATGAGAAATAGGGAAAATATCTGCAATATGACAGTTATCACTCCAATAGTTTCCATCTGTCTCAGAGCAATAGCTGAAATATTTGATAAAGTTAAAACTACTGTAAAATAATATTAGTTATCAAAATATGCCCTTTTTTTTCTTCCTATACTGTATTTGTATGTGCTGTATAATGTAGGAGAAGATATATATATATATATATATATATACACACATATACACACACGTATCACAGTGAACATATCTGTATTAAGATTATGAGTTCTTGTTAAGTTCATTTTTAAACTATAAAAATATGATGACATAATACTTTTTTACCTGTATAAACCATTAAAAGATAAATATAAAAAATAATCAGTTTCTTTCTAAGCAAAAATTAACTCAAATCTACCTTGCTTAATGCAACTTTGTGATTACCCGTCTACTGTCCCACAGTAGGTTCACCTTCCCATTTCCCGTAATGACTCCTGTATTTGCAACATTCTCTTGAAACTTCCAGTATTTCCTTTTCCCATCTTTTTCAGATGATGCACTTGCCCCATTCATTGGCTGTGATGATTTATTATTGGCTGTGATCGATTAATTCAGCCACCCCATCAACAACTGAGTCTGCTCTTTTCTGCCTTTGCTCATGCTCTTCTACAAGGCCAAGCCCACCACTGTACTCTGCACTCTACATCTTTTTGCATTCAAGAAACTTGTCTTCATAGTTATATCCCCTCTCCCCTACATCATCAGTTTTTCTCTCTCCCTACTAGATCAATTCCATAATCATCTGTGCTCTGATAACTTCCATCTAAAGAATGTGAGAGAAAATTTCTCCTCTGATTCTGAGCTAGCTACCTATTTCTCAGCTCCATCAACTTCTTGAGATAGTTATCTAAGCAGATGTCCTCATTTCTCCCTCTATAACGCCCCTCAGTCCACTTGGGGCTCTTGTCTGCATGTCACAGACTGCCTTTCTCAGTGCAAGAATTTCCATGCTGGCCCAAAACACTGATATCATTTGTCCTTAGCTTACTCAACCTCACAGAAGCGTGCAACATCATTGACCTCAGTCCATTTTCCATTGCTCTGTACCCATAGTAAAACAAAACAGGGCAGCAAAGAACCAGCAGATGGCATAATGGTTATGTTTCTGGACTCCAACATAGTTGACCTTGGTTTGAGTCCTAGACCTGGTGGCTTAAAACTCATGCCAGGCATATGTGTATGTGTGCCCAAAATCCCAAGAAGGGAATGGAGGAAAAGGGATTGTGGCGTGGCCATTTCCCCTGAGGGGTGATGTCTTGCTTTCTGTCTCTCTGGTGAGCACACATGCCCTATTGCAAAAATCTCTCTTGAACAAACAAACAAACAAGTAAAATAGGACAGCAAAAATTATCCTCATCCTCTTCCCTGCTTCACTACAATAACTGGTATGAAAATTTTCACATTGTTTAGGTCAGAAACTTAGAAATGAATCTTGATTCTTCCTTTTCCTCATGCCCCAATTTAACTCAATAACCAGACTTTTTTTTTCCCATTAATGGAGTAGATAAACTGCATTATTAGTCCACTTCTTTCCAAATGTACTATTACCATCCTGCTTCAAACCCACTCTTATCTCCGACCTGAATATGGGAGAATAGATGTCTGGCTAGTTACCCTTGTTTAACTCTTTCTTACCTTCCACTATCAACACAGCAGTCCAGAGTCAAACTATGTCTTTAAAATATACTCTTGGGGCAGTAGGTGGTGTAGTGGTTACTGGACTTCCACATGGCCAACATGGTTCAAGTCCTGGACCTGGAAGCTTGAAAATCATACCAGGTACATGTGTGCACAGGCCAAAATTCCAGGAAGAGAATGGAGGAAAAAGAATTGTGGTGTGACCATCCCCTTCCGGGGACTGGTTTCTCACTTTCCCTCTCACCTTCTCCCTGTCTCTCTCTGGCAAATGCATGCACTCTATGGCAAAAACATTTAAATATATATATATAAACTCTTCTGAGCCAGCCCCATAGCTGAGTGGTTATGGAGCTGGATAACACATAGTTGACTGCAGCTCAAATCTCTGTCTTGGTGACTTGAAAAATGCCAGGCACATGCGTGTCTATGCCCAAAATTTCAACAGGATTGAAAATGGAAGAGGGATTGGAGTATTACCTTGCCTTTTTGGAGAGTGTTTTCTCCCTCACCAGTGAGTTCTCATACCCTCTGACCAGAGGGGGAAGAGGGGGAAAAAACAAACAAACACAAAAAAATACCCCCTTTCTATAATATTCTCCTAATTAAATCTTTTCAATGACTTTCTACCACAAAAAAAGATCCAAATCCTTAACTCTGACCTACGAAGTTGACATACAGCAGCTCCAAGATCCTGTCTACTTCTTCACCTCTCCTGCAGCAGCCCATGACATGCCTTCCAAAAGTCTCCTGAACACAAATCTTCCAATTCAAGGGTCAGTATGAGATGAAAATCAGGTCCTTGAGAACTATTTAATTTTTTTTAACAAAATGACAAATTACAGTAACCCATTTATCATCTAAGATAAAGAACTATGAATAAAAAAAATCATACCCAACCTCTTCTACACAAAGGCTTGATTTAGCACTGTTGAAATAATTTCAGCATTCAGCTAAGTGAGGCAGTTAATGAGTATTTGGCCCTATTTTTATGCCTCAGTTTTATTTTTAGACATTTATTTTCTTCTCCCGAA